CGACGTGTGTGACGTGTGTGCCATGTGACGTGTGTGTGACGTGTGCCGTGTGACGTGTGTGTGACGTGTGTGCCATGTGTGGCATATGACGTGACATGTGCCATGTGTGGCATGTGACATGCAATGTGAGTGACGTGTGACATGTACGTGCCTTGTGTGACATGTGATGTGCGTGCAGTGACGTGTGCCATGTGGCATGTGTGTGCCAAGTGAGTGACATGTGCATACCATGTACATGCTGTGTGCACCGTGTGACATGTATGTGCCATGTGAGTGCCATGTATGTGCCTGTGACATGTGACATGTGTCGTGTGCATGGCGTGCCGTGTGCCATGTTTTAATGCCATGTGGGTTTCCGTGTGTGCCATGTGACGTGTATGCCATGTATGTGCCATATGTGACGTGACGTGACATGTCACATATGCATGCCATGTGACATGTGTGCCGTGTGTGCCATATGCATGCCATGTGAGTGACGTGCATGCCATGTGCATTCCGTGTATGCCATGTGGGTGACATGTGAGTGATATGTGCATGACAGGTGCATGCGCTTTTTCACGGGTGCTGCTGTTTCAGATATTTTCATGTTTCATAAAAAAAGGTGACGCTCCTGTTTAAGCTGGAAAAATAGAAAGCAATGATGCTTTTATACCACTTCAACTTATAAATATCCAAGTTTTTGAGAAAATAGAGAAAAAGGAGCCAAGAGTCTCCAAAAGACCCGCACAATGCCATGTCCTATTATAGTGGCTTCAAAGGAATCAGAACAAGCATCCGGGCTCCAGGACATCTCCCCGCAATTACATTAGTTGGGGTAAAGATTCGACTCATCAGTAAGATCAATGTAGCTGCTAAAAGAAAGACAGCTAACCCCAAATCCCAAATGTATCATAAAAGGGGAGAGGCCAGCACAAATTTCAGGGCTCAGTAATCTGGAGAACCTCAGAGAAAATCTTAGCCTAAGCAAAAATACCTACAAACCTTGAGCCAAACCCAGCAGTCCGAACACACCCAACAGCTATGCTAACAACAGTGCACTGAGGGTAGGAAACTTCACAGACGCCGACAAAAATGGCTGCACTGGAAGAAATACGTAAGGTTCTGATCTGAATATTCACCAGTAAAAACACAAGTACTTTTCCTGGGTTATGAAATTATTTAATGCTTATACTTTATGATACACTCATCTAATTTTAAATTCTTCTTTGGTAGTTTTCTGAGTTTATCAGCCTTCTTGAGACACTGCCAGTGGAGATATGTCCTGACAGCATCTCTGACACCACAAAAGCAACGGATCAGATGCAAAACTCTACACGAATCATTTCCCTGTCCTCCTATTTACAGTCATTCAAAGCCCAGCTGATTTCCAGCACTGAACAACTAATACCATCCACTTCCATTGTAATTGCACCTGGCTTTCACAGAAGATATACTTAGTATGGCTGTTCCAATTGTGATAATTGTAGATAAGCTCGTTTTCTAGATTACTATTAGTGAATTCAAAGAGTCATAAAGATGCTTTGGCTTACTTATACCACAAAGAGAATTACTCATTTAAAATAGGGAATACTTTCAAATGAACTCGCAAGTTAACTGGAGTTTATTATTTTAGAATGTGATTTGAATGTGGTTATATGTAATTGTTTGAATTTAAGTGTGTAGGATTTCAGAAATACTGTAGGATACTATACTAAAATAATTTAATGCAGATGTAGGAACAAAAAAGTATAATCTTACACAAGCCATCACTCAGGTGTTCACAGAGTCTCAAAGAAAATATTTGAAATAATTTAGTTTTCTGTTTCTAATGACAGTCATGCTGACAAAATTTATTGGATCATCAAACTTTATAGTACAAGCATATGGATTTGTTTTTAATAAATTATAATTTTTGCATATATCAGTCAAAGCACAAGGCCTAAATACTTGCAAACAAAATGCATTATTAATTTAATTGTCACAGCCTATTTAGCTAACCTCTATTACTATTTGCTATAATATGCAATGCATTAGAGTGGAGAATCAAATTCAAAACATTTTTTAAAACTTATTATATTGTCCAGGAGAAATTAAAATACAGCAAGCTTGCAAAAGTATAACCAAGGCTTTAATGCTTTAAATAGGTAAGAAAAATGTTTAACTTAATTTAGAGAACGGTTATGCCCAGACTGATGGTTCAGCATGCTGATGAAGGGTTTGCTTCCTAAAACCACCAGAAGGCAGGCAGGAAATGGAAACGAGGAGACTGGCATTGCTGGCTCTAGATTACACCACTGAAATCTTGATTTGCTCTAGCTACAGGTGTCTACTGGAAAATTATACTACTGCTGGGGCCCTGGCATTCCCGTGTAGTATTTCTCTGTAACAGGAAACAGTGCCATATAAGCAGACGTCAAAAACAAGAAGTCCTCTCAAGGAATTTTTACAAGGAAAAACAATTCAATCAAAGATGTTTGGTTTAGAAGAGTGTTGCTGCTTGGAGTACTTAAAAGGTACCGATCCACATGGTGGGTGTGCTTCCCCATTTGAGATTCATTTCTTGATGTGAGGACAAAAACAGTGTCAGTACCTGAGAAGAGCTTACCATGTGCCAGAGGGGAGAAATCCAATCTTTCTCCTGCCTCAGTTTTAATCTCCCTTTATGTATTCAGGACAGATATAAATATTAAATAAAAGAAAAAAAAAGTATCCTGGAATGTAACGAAAAGGGTAAATGAAAATAAACAAATAAATAAATTTTTGGTTCTCGAATTCATAATATATAGGGTATGTCTAGTATTTTAAGGTGTTTAATACATGAACATATATACATACACACACATATATGGGGAGATCAATTTTTCCCTGTGAAACAATATGAACAATTCTTCAATTTTTAAAAAACTTCTAAGTAAAAACCAAAATGACATAGTTAAATTAAAAATGTATACTATTTAAAAATACAGTTGGGAATATTTTCTTTTTACTACTTAAACAATCTCGACTGCTTTCATTCAAATTTATTTTGAAATCAGAGCCAGAAAAGTAACAGTTCAATCATTTATTATTTATGAGATATTGAATAAATTATTATTGTATTTTCTAGGCTCAGTCCTTAGATCTATACAACTGGAATAATAATGAACTGCTAATAAGGTCAAAGAAGGATTAACTGAGATAATGCATGTGAAAGCAATGAAAACATAGCAATTACAAATATGTTCTGTTTCTACATACTTAAACAACACTTATGAAAAATAACTTTGACATGTCCCAAATTATTCTTTTAAAAATATAGCATCCTTTTAAATTTCAAGAATAATCCATCCCTGACACATTCAATGCATGTATTTTGGCTGCAATTATTAAATACAATGTTACAAAGAAAGATACGGGAAATCGGCTGGGCATGGTGGCTCAAGTCTGTAATCCCAGCACTTTGCGAGACGGAGGTAGGCTGATCACGAGGTCAGGATATTGAGACCATCCTGGTCAACACGGTGAAACCCCGTCTCTACTAAAAATATAAAAAATTAGCCAGGCACGGTGGCAGGCGCCTGTAGTCCCAGCTACTTGGGAGGCTGAGGCAGGAGAATGGTGTGAACCCGGGAGGTGGAGCTTGCAGTGAGCCAACATGCGCCACTGCACTCCAGCCTGAGTGACAGAGCGAGACTCCATCTCAAACCGAAAGAAAGAAAGGAAAGAGAGAAGGAAGGGAAGGGAAGGGAAGGGAAAGGAAGGGAAGGGAAGGGAAGGGAAGGGAAGGGAAGGGAAGGGAAGGGAAGGGAAGGGAAGGGAAGGGAAGGGAAGGGAAGGGAAGGGAAGGGAAGGAAGGAAGGAAAGAAGGAAGGAAGGAAGGAAGGAAGGAGGGAAGGAGGGAAAGAAGGAGGGAGGGAGGGAGGGGAAGGGAAGGGAAGGGAAGGGAGGGAGGGGGGAGGCAGGGAAAGAAAGAAAGAGAGAGAAAGAAAGAGAGAGAGAGAAACAGAGAAAGAGGAAATCAAACATATGGGTGCAAAGGAGACATCCCAAGATCCAAAAATTTTGACTCAGTAGCAGTCTGTGCCCATACTACTATACTAAAGAAAACAATATGCCTGACAGAAAGGTCAACTTAAGTTCCCATAAACAGAGAAAATACTGCTAAGAGCATTTTATATTTTTAAAAAGACTATTAAATATTTACAAATATGACTGAAGACCTCAGGCTTCAGAGTAACTGAAAAAATTGCACCACAATTGACCTTTGAAAACAGTATTAAAAAAACTAAAATTTCTGAGGGTATCTGTAGAATTTTGGATCCTACTTTGGAGAATCTGAGGGGGACTGAAAATCTATCCTGACTTTAAGGAAATTGCCAGTGCTCACGTTAGTTTTGAGTGAGCTGCACATTTTAAAGATTTAAAATATCAGAAGTAGCCATGTTCACCTGGTAGCTGACACTGCTATATTTCAGTTCACCTAATATAATTAAGTCTATGTGATGAAGCTAATTATGATACAGTAGCAAGAAAAAAGAAAACCTGGCAGTTGATGACATAGTAATTGTAGTGTTATTTTTCATGACATGGCAACTGTAGTATTATTTGGGGGATGACACAAGATATATTTCTTTTTAATATCAGCAACCTTTAAGTCTACAGTAAGAATTCAAAACTGTTATTTTAAAACCTCAAAATAAGAATATATAATAAAACAAAGTTGAGTTTTACATATTTGTTTTAGCACACTCAAATGCATTTTCAGAAGGTAATTCCCTCCAATTTAATTCTTCTAGTATTTCAAGGTTGTTTCACAAATTCAAAGTCCTCCAAATGCTTTCAACTACTTCTAGACTCATTTTAATTAAAATATGTTAAATTTTTGTGAAACGATGGCATAAAATATGATATTCGACAAAAGAGTACCACAAATAGAAACATGATGAACTGACGTGAAAAAAAATTCTAGAAGTCATGTCATTAAATAAAGCCTAAAATAAAAATCAAATTGTATTTTTAAATGAGAAAAAAATGAAAATTACCTTTCTTTTGGGGTGCCAACTCCATGCTTGCCTAGTAAATGAGTATTTAAGTGCTTCTTCATCACAAAAGCAACCCTAAAAAATAAATAAAGGTAATTATAAAACTAAAACTTGACTCTCTGCAAGAAATCTGTACAAAAAGTACTTAAGAATAATATCTGGGAACTGAACAATGAGATCACTTGGACTCGGGAAGGGGAACATCACACACCGGGGCCTATCATGGGGAGGGGGGAGGGGGGAGGGATTGCATTGGGAGTTATACCTGATGTAAATGACGAGTTGATGGGTGCAGCACACCAACATGGCACAAGTATACATATGTAGCAAACCTGCACGTTGTGCACATGTACCCTACAACTTGAAGTTTAATAATAATAAATAAATTTAAAAAAAAAAAAAAAAAAGAATAATATCTATATGCAAACATAGCATAAAAAGCATATTACAGTGGCACTCTTGCTACACCAAAGCTTGCATAGAGATTAAATATATTGTAGGACTTCAAAAGAAGTCTACATCTAAATTGACTGGTTCATTTTCGTCTTGGATACCCTAACAGTGAGCAAAAGAGCACAATGATTGTAGTTCTTCAATCCCTGTCTTCACTTCCAGGTGGTAAGAAGGATGAAGCAATACCTCAGTATAACATGCACAGCCCCGAGGTCATCACACACTTCAATCAGGAAATGAGTTTGAGAAAATGTCATTTTATTAAATATTTAAAGGACCATAAAAGAGAAAAAGAATGGCTTTCATGGAGCTTCCTTAAAAACAGGGTAATAACTTGAAGAGAGGTTTTTAAAAATAATAAATATTTACTGTATCTATAGCACAAAAAAAATTGTATTGAAGTACCTAGATATCAATAACTAAAACAAACAAAAAGTATTACCTGACATACTATCTTATTTTATACACAAATCAGCTTAATTCAATTTTGTTGACATAAATATGAACTGGACAGGAATCAGCAGTACATGAACGCCATTCTACCCCTGAACACAGTGCAGTATCAATTTAATTACATCATGTGATTATTTAAAACAATTTAGATCAGAGACATTCAGAAGCATCAAAACTAAAACGGCTCTCTGGATAAGCAGAAAGAAAATTTACTGTTGTAACTTTCAGCGTAAAAGGGCTTGCAAACATTTTTGTTAATTATGTATTACAGCTGTCCTTCATAAAGTTAATTACTAATAGCTGAAAGGCAACAGAATCTATTTGCATATGTACATGAAAGACATGACATATGCAAAAATATGATTTTAATTAGCATTCTATGATATGAAGAGCTACAAATCAAATTGGCATGTTATAAGATTCTCAACATTAAACACTGAATTCATCTGGACATGTTTGCACAAATGAGCAACGTAAGACTGTAAAGTACTATATCCTTGCAGAAAAGACTTGTGACAAAAGCCAAAAGCAAAACGACTTCTAAAAAAATGCTTCTTTTCTTTTGATGTCTAATTTATTTTGTTTAATTTCATATAATATTATAGAATCTCAGGTTTAAGGCCAAATGACCATGACTTCTTTATCCAAATAATGCACTTATATGCACTGAAAATAACAATCATTCTACTTAAATATTAGGTAATAACAACTATGGTCAATACACACTTTACAACTATAAATAACTGGTACCAACATCAATCACTAAAATTAAATTATCACATATTAAAAAACTGGTAATATTAAAAGCTGAGCAAAAAAAAAAAAAAAAAAAAAAAAAAGCACAAAAATTCTGTATTTGTTTCTGCTTGATTTTGACAAAATAACATTTTTCATTCCTTAAAAAAGAACCAGTAATAATAAGTAAATTTAAGTCATAACTTCCCTACTGTCCTCCATTGTCCTATAATTAAAAAAACATAAAGCTAATAGCAAAGAGCAAAGGTTAAAAACCCAAAGCTGCAACGCACAGCTCATTCACATGACCAAGTATAACTGAAGAGATCTGAACTTAGAATCCACAGTGCAGTTTTTAAGAGAAAACAAAATTATTAATTAAAATATTTAGGTTTTAAGAATTGAAGCAAAAATATTACATGGCACAGGGAAAGAAACTAGAGTAAACAGGGAGAAAAAGCTTTTGCCTGATATAATGTCCTAATGCGTGCTGAATGTCTCCAGTGCTGAGTATTTAGTGAAATGATAATTTTTATTATAATGGAGAAAAACGGAAAAAGTTTTAATACTGTAACACAGCTCAATTGTGTTCAAATGCAAAATATTTATTCAACCAACACTGGACTTAAAAAGAAGTACTAATTCTTTCAATTTGGCTTAAAGTATAAATAATGTAAAAGGCTCAAAATCATCCTCCGTTAAAAAACATATATAAGCCAAGCATGACCAGCATTAAATTACTGACCCATATGCACATAATATTGACAGTCATATGTGGTTACTGAATGTAGGCTACTCCTACACTAACACTGTAACATTATTGTTTTAAAATTTTTAACATAACTTTCAAATATATATATACATAATCTAGATATCACCAGAAATAAAACAGAAATGATGGCAAATCTGAAAGCTAGCCAATTGACATGGCTTTCTCCCCATAAACCCTCATTCTTTCATACCTTCACTCCCTGTTTCATCACGTTTACTGATCACTTACTATGTGCTAGCTGTGAAGGGGTCCCGAACCTATGAGAAAAACCAGACCGTTCGAGTCATGCCTTCCCGGAGCATTCTCAACAACCTGTGGCTTATCAACGGGATGCACTGACACTAAGCTTGAGCCACTCCTCTGTGGACAGTGCTAGTCATTCACACATGCATTTAATTTACATATTTATTACTTAAAGATCTACTATTATGCAAGAACAGTTCTTGGCAGCTGTGATGCACAGGTGACTAAAACAAATAAAAGTCCCTGCCCTCAAAAAATGTACAACCTAGTGAGAGACACAGACAACAAGAAAAAACAAACAAACAAAAAAACCCAGTAAAATATGTATCATATTAAGCAGTGTCAAGTGGTTGGAGAATAAATTAGAGAACAAGGATCTTAAAATGTCAGCAAGGGGTTGAAATTCTACATTTGGGTGGCTCAGGAATGAGACCTGTGAGTGAAGAGGATGAAGGCACGTGGCCTGCCAAGGTATAAGGACCTGCAACCCCAGCAGGAGAGAGCACAATCACAGACCTCTGAAGGCAGAGTCTCAATTCATTCTCACAGCAGTGACGTGGGAGCATAAACCTGGGGGCTGGTAAGTGGGGAGGAGGACAGTCCCATCCAGGGACGTTAGAAAAAAGAGGGCAGGTGAGAATGGCAACAATGAAGGCCACAATAGCCTCAGTTTTTATTCTGAGTGAGAAGAAAAGCCATCTCAGGTATCTGAACAGAGGAGTCACTTGTCCAACTTACTTTTTTAATTATTTTTTAAAAATAGCTCACTGTAATCTCAAAATCCAGGGCTCAAGGGATCCTCACACCTTAGCTTTCCCAGTAGCTGGGACTAAAGCCATGTGCCACCAGGCCTGGCTAATTAAACTTTTTTTGTAGAGACAGGGGTCTCACTATGTTGCCCAAGCCCAAGTTGGACTCAAACTCCAGGTCTCAAGGAATCCTCCTGCCTGGAAGTCCCAAAGTCCTGGGATTACAGGTGTAAGCCACCACACCTAGCCTCAACTTCCATTTCAATAGCACTCCTGTCTGTTCTGTTTTGAGTGTGTGTGTGTGTGTGTGTGTGTGTGTGTGAGAGAGAGAGAGAGAGAGAGAGATCAACAGTCTCTTGGAATAATCCAGGCAAAATGATAGTGACCTGGACAAAGGCTAGCAGTGAAGACGTGGTCAGATTTGGGATATATATTTGTAATCAGAGCTAACCAAATTTCTCTATGGATTGGATATAGAGTCTGAAAGAGAAATCAAATAAATGATCCATTTTTGGCTTAAGAGAAATCGAGCTGTTTTGAAGGAGATGGGTCTGGGACATGCTCATAAGGAAGTCTACTGAGCATCCCAGAGGCCTGTGGAACAGGAGGCCAACTCCGCCGCTCGAGGCCAAGACCCACGCTAGAACTGCTGTTGCTCAAGTCATCCATTTGCAAGCATCTAATCATCTGAAGGAATACCTTTAAATAAAAAATAATAATGTTTTTAAAATATTGATTGACTTGCAATCAATGTAAATGCCTAATACAGTACAACTTATTTTGGTGTAAAAAGAGCAATGCAGTAGTAATGCCTACATTCCAGTTAACCTACAATCCAATTTTAAAAAAAAAACAAAAAAAAAAAAACCTCTTATTTTAGCATTATTTCATAATAAATTCTTGTACACTATACACCATATAATAAAGACCTGTTTCTTCAGTCCGTTAGGTTTATCACTATAACATTATTTCAATTTGAGAGTCATGGCAGATGATGTAACTCATCCACTAAAGTACATACAGCTCAGCTGACCCTTGAACAACATGAGTCTGAACGGCCCGAGTCCACTTCTACTACGATCTTCTTCCACCTCTGCCACCCTTGACACAGTAAGGCCAACCTCCCTCCTACTCCTCAGCCCACTCAATGTGACGATCAAAAGGATGAAGTCCTTTATGATGAGCCACTGCCACTTAAAGAATACTAAATATACACATTTTCTTCCTTATGATTATCTTAACGTTTCCTCTAACTTCTTTTATTGTAAGAACACAGCATATAATACATACACAGAATGTGTTAATCTACAGTTCCTCTTATTGGTAAGGCTTCTGATTGACAGCAGGCTATCAGTAGTTATGTTTTTGAGGAGTCAAAACCTACACTTGGATTTTTTACTGCATGGGGCTTTGGCTGCGTTTCTCTTGTGCCAAACAGGTTCCTATGGTTGACTGTTCTTCAGGATGACAACAGAAATGGTACCAAAAAGTAGGGGTAGGGAGAATTTTCAAATGAGTTTGGATAACACTAGGTTAAAAAGGTTAAGCTCTGGCCAGGCGCGGTGGCTCATACCTGTAATCCTATCACTTTGAGAGGCCTAGGCAGGAGGATACAAAGGTCAGGAGATCGAGACCATCCTGACTAATACAGTGAAACCCTGTCTCTATTA